TGTGTGTGTGTGTATATAATATATATATATAATACCAGCACTCCATGAGCATGGGTATGTCTGTGTGTATATATACTTATATATGTATATGGAGCCCTGGTGTGGCACTGTGGGTTAATGCACCAGACTGCAAAGCTGTTTAAACTGTAAGGTCGGTGGTTCAGTCTCACCAGCTGCTCCTTAGAAACCCTATACAGGGTCGTTATGGGTCGGAACTGACTTGATGGCACTTAACAAAATATATGTATATATTTCTCTCTCTCTCTGTCTCTCTCTCTGTCTCTCCTTGTCTCTCTCTCTGTCTCTCTGTGTCTGTCTCTGTCTCTCTCTCTCTCTCTCTATATATATATATATACATGTATTTGTGTGTACATGTATATGTATGTATGTATATTAGGATTTCTGAGACTATATGAGAATAGTCCCATCTTTCTCCTGCATAGTGGCTAGTGGATTTGAAACATCAACCAATCAATTAGCTGCTCGATGCTTAACCTACTGGCTTCCTAGGGAAGCTACAGAAGTCAATAATTTCTAGATCATACCAAGTCTTGTTCATCCTTGTGGGACATTAAAACTTTACCACACAGACAATAGAAGCCACCAAAGGATTTGATAAAAAGATATATTTAATTAGATTTGCAGTTTATGAAGATCAGTTTGGTAACAGAGTAGAGACAAATTAGAGGAGAGAGGATGGTGCCTGGGAGACTAGTAGACTTGTAAATATTAAAAATGATGTGGCGCTGACTAAGGTGTTAGAATTGATGATAGAAATTATACTTATGCATACAGGTGTGGGAATGGAGCAGGAAAGAAGAAAGGGGGAAATACTTTCCTAGAGCATTGCATCTCTCACGTTGTCTCTTCATTTTGATTTACTTAAAGACACAAAGCAATACTCTGAGAAAGCAAAATATTCAATTATATGTGTATATTAAGATTTTAAGATTTGGAATTTATTCTAATCGAACTTATCTATAATATGACACCATTTTTTAAATGAAGACTTTAATAACACTATTATTATACCAGTAAATTTATGGTATTAATCAGTCAAGTGATTTCAGGTATGTGTTACTGAGACGGAATTCTAAATCCTTAAATAGACCTCATTTTCTATATCTGCTCTTAGCATATCAAGAATGTTTTTAAACACTACAGCTTTCTTTCTCCAAATCATCTTCACCTATGTTTCTGAACATATGACCAGCTATTAATAGAGGGAAGAGCTAGACAAAAGCGAGGGAGGGACCATAACTACATGCAAATGTATGTATGTATATACACACGTGTGTGCATACGTGTGTATTTGAGTGAGAGACTGTGAATCCATGGGCTATTTGGTTTACTGGGTTTGAGTTTATCATCAAATACATCCATATTCATATGGTGTTGATTTAATAAATTCAAAGAGTTTGATCAAAACTTCCATGGAAAAATATCAAAGCTCAGAGTAATATTAAAATGACTTTAACATAGGCCATGACTATAGCCTCTTTGTCATAAAGCCATTCTTGCTGAAATGTTATCATTCAGTTCACCAACATTTTTTGAAAATGCATTTTACACACACAACCCCCTACATACATAACTTAGCATATAGCTGGCCAGTCCTTTTAGAGTTCTCAATTCTGATGGATCAGATTATTTCTATAATTTGGAAAATAAAAGACAACTTGGGTTTCTTTATAAAGTAATACAATTAGTATATATTAAATGATATAAAAATTATGTCAAAATAGAAACCTTTTACAAGAAAAGAGCTCCACTACCCTTATGACTATACAAGCTAATTTTTTCTGTGCTTTCAAAATTTTTTAACCATCCATCTACAATTATTATTTTTTTAATGAAGCTTTAAAATTTTTTTCATATCTAACAATGAAGCTTTGGATCCATGCAAATCCAAGCAATGTGACTTTTATTTTCAAATACATGCAAATGCTTGCTACCTCTCTTCCCACGTGCCTTCACACATGTGTCCCTTTTACCAGAACAAATAGTACTATTCCCCTAAAAGACTGGGAAACTTGAGACAGCTGCTATTGTTCCCAAAGGTGGTTTTTGTTTTCAGTGATATATCAATCATACTTTAGCCAGAAATTCAACAACAAAAACTTGACAGTGATTCTTTCCTTCTCCCTCTTCAAACACTTACGGTCCGCTTCATCCAGTCATCTCCTCTAGAGGTCAGCTCCGAAACAGCAGATGGTGTGCTTGTGTGCAGCAGCTGGCTTCATTCCATTCCATCCCTCCTTCTCTCAAGGGACTGTGTGTGTGAACATTCACGACTTTCAGTTGCCATTCAATGCTTTCTGCTTCTCTAAGCCAAAAAACTAGAAAGCTTGGCGTACTCTCCAGCAATGAGCCCAGATGTCCAGCTGTGATACAGTTTCTTGTCCAGTCTCCCTGCTGGAACAGTAATCATTCACAAATCCAAATAAAAGAGTTATCCAGAGGCCCTATTTTGTTCTAATGGGTCGGTGTCTTTGAATTGTGTCTGGAAGGAGCAGTGTAAGAGCCAAGGGCAATACATGAGAATCTAAAAATGTTTTGTAGTTTCACTTGGATGGGATGAGATGTCCTTCTGTGTGGCTCAGGACCTTGATTTTTTATGGGACTAGCTTACTCAATGCATCACTGACTACACTGATGTCTCTTTTTCTTTCTTCAGATGAATATGCTAATGAAACTCCAAGAAGCAGCCAATTACTCCGGCACACAAAGCTTCCACAGTGATAGTACCAGCCACCACGAAGACGGTTTGGATTCGTCTATTGAATCTACTCTCTAGAGGGTCAAAAAAAAAAAAAAAATTGAAATCATTTGTCAAACAGCAGAGACTAGA